TGTGGTCTTATTACCTTGTGTTTATAATCTATAATCCAAACTGTACCTTATCATGGATGTGGTCTTATTACCTTGTGTTTATAATCTACAACGCCCGGGGTTTACCCGATTAAATGATTTTATTCAAATACTATTCGTTACAATTATAAATTGGCGCCGTGGATGTCATTCTTGTATAATATATAAATGAGTTTTAAAAATTGTAAAAAAAAAAAAAATGCATCGGCCGGGAATCGAACCCGGGGCGCACGCGTGGCAGGCGAGCATTCTACCACTGAACCAAAAGCAAACGGTGACAGAATTAAGAACGCATGACGATGATAACTGTATATTATCCGTGACAGAGGCGGCCGATGAGGAAAGATGGTCGTGACTATATATAGTAATAATCCAAACTGTACCTTATCATGGATGTGGTCTTGTTACCTTGTGTTTATAATCTATAATCCAAATTGTACCTTATCATGGATGTGGTCTTATTACCTTGTGTTTATAATCTATAATCCAAACTGTACCTTATCATGGATGTGGTCTTGTTACCTTGTGTTTATAATCTATAATCCAAATTGTACCTTATCATGGATGTGGTCTTATTACCTTGTGTTTATAATCTATAATCCAAACTGTACCTTATCATGGATGTGGTCTTATTACCTTGTGTTTATAATCTACAACGCCCGGGGTTTACCCGATTAAATGCTTTTATTCAAATACTATTCGTTACAATTATAAATTGGCGCCGTGGATGTCATTCTCGTATAATATATAAATGAGTTTTAAAAATTGTAAAAAAAAAAAAAAAATGTATCGGCCGGGAATCGAACCCGGGGCGCCCGCGTGGCAGGCGAGCATTCTACCACTGAACAAAAAGCAAACGGTGACAGAATTAAGAACGCATGACGATGATAACTGTATATTATCCGTGACAGAGGCCACGGCAGACGGTCGTGACTATATATATTAATTATTTCGAGGTTCTATTTTATTAGATGTCCAGAACATATATTTATATTCAATTAAACATGAACGCAATAGTAATTATTTTGTACTATGATGATTATATATTTTTTCGTATTTATTTCTACCATTCCTTTTGATAAATTGATTATTTTAATTTTTTTTAAACATATTTTCAGCCATAAATTATTATTATTTTTTACCTATTTCTTGTATTTTTATTCGTTTACTTGCTTCATCTTACTTTCTGTTATTTATCAGTTTTTTTCTGATTATTTTACACTTTTATCTTTTCATATAGTCTTTATTTTTATTTGTGAAAGGTTTTATTTCCATCTTTTGTTCATCAAATTTCTGCATATTTTTATATTTAACATACACGCAGATAGAAATCCAAATAGATGTCTTTATATTTATAAACAATCATTGTTTTCTGATTGAGCCTAGGTGCAAATTTTCAGGATTTTAAGATGTGGTCTGACAGTATGTTAAAATATGAGTTAAAAATATGTTTTGACACAAATCCATTTTTAAAGAATTTCAGTCTCTCATAAAATTCTCTTGGGGGATTTAAAAATGAAAAGATCAAAATAAGTAGGGAGTGAAAGATCAAAATATTGGTTTATACTCAAAATAATATTATATTCGTTATTTAAATCAATGTTTATTTACATATATAAAATTTCATAAAAATATACATATATTTAAGAGTTAATATACGCCAATAGATACTAATAGTAATTCACAATATTTTTAAAGGTTGAAGAGAGAAAAGAGAAATCGCATAAATTATATACACAATTTTTGAAACAAGGTACATTTAATATTTTAAAATAACTTTTATTTCGATTAAAAATATATAAACATAATAAAAAAGATAGAGTGTATTTAATAGAAATTATTTAGTTTTTCACAAACAAGAGTTTATTCAAACAAGGTAGCAAGTAGAGAAGTAGAATAATTTCACTCAAAAATAGAGAGATGAAATACTTTCAGATATATTTAAATACTATTACAGATTTTTTTTTCAAAACTATTAGAGATATAAATTATATTTTTGCATAAATATACAAATACACACACAATATACTTACAGAAAATAAATAAATACATATTTTTAGAAATAGATAAATACAATACCTTTCAATATAATAGTAAATACAATACTTTTTCTCTCTGTGAAAAGAGATATATACAATATATGCAATACCTTCATAACTAGATAAACAGAATATATTTCCAATATAATAGCGAATACATTACACTTCCTGAAAAGCTATATATACAAATGCTTTAAGATATATATATAAATACAACATTTTCTGAGAAATCGATAAATACAATAACTTTAGAAATAGATAAAATGATTTTTCAGAATCAAAATATTACAATACACGTATTTCCAGAAATATATAAACACATTACTTACACACACATAAATAGACAAAAATAATACTTTCTGAATTAGAAAAATACAACTCTTTCAATTTCAGAAATAGACTAAAACAATAAAAAAATAGATGAAATTAATATTTTTATAAATAGAAATATACAATGCTTTAACAAAAAAAAAAACGATTTAAAAATACTCTAACTAGCCAAAAAATATAAAAATTCATAAAATAGGCAAAAATACAATACTTCCTTATATAGGCAAATGCAAAACTTTCCAATAAAGGCATAAATACAATACATTCAGAAATAGACAAATATAATATGAATTAAGGTATAAAAATACAATACTCTTTTTCGGATATAAACAAATACGATACTTTCAGTTATAGACAATTACAATTTCTTCCATATATAAAAAATACAAAAATTTCGGATATATAGAGATATACTACTTTCAGATATAAACAAATAAAATACTCTCAGAAATAAACAAATGCAATACTTTCATATATAGACAAATACGATAGACTCAGATATGAATACAACATTATTTCTGATATAAACAAATACAATACTTCAGATTTACACAAAAAATACAATACCTTTGGATATAGACAAATACTTTACTCTCTTTCTCTTTGAGATATAAAGAATTATGCAGGTTTTCAGGCACAAAAAATACAATACTTTTATATATAGACAACGGCAATACTTTCAGCTATAAACAATTACAAAACCTTTCAATATAGGCAATCCTCTTTTGGTTCAGAAATAGAAAATTATAAATCATATCAAAAATTGATATATACAATACAATACTTTTAAAATATGAAAAATACAATATTTTATCAAATAGATATACAGTAATTTTAGAAAAAAATTAAGTATCTATATTTAAATGTAGATTGATAAAAAATATTTTTTAGAATACAGATTCAAGATAAATCGTGGAGTATGTTAACAGGATTTAAATTGTGAATGTACAGTCTTCCTGAATATGTATTTGTTTGTATTGTGTCTGCTATTTGCTTTTATATTGATATATTTTATATATTTATAATATCTTGTTTTTGAGCATATCTTGTCGTCTTTTGTCTATCTTGATAATCCGAATGTTTACAAACCTTCCAGAAAGTTCTATTTATAAGCACTGGCTTTGTACATACATAATTACAATTCAACATTTAAAAGTTGCAAAAATAAAAGTGATAATTCGATATCTATAAGCTGACGTCTTATACATTTTTGTCACATCATTATATCCTTTTTTACATTGAATTCTTCCGAATACATTTTTCGGTTTACAATTTATCTTGTAAAATACAATATAACGCGGCTGATGATTGTAAAACGAAAATTAAAATTATACCGCGAATGTTTCTTTTAAAAATCGAAATTTATTTTCAAAGAGAAATAGCGACATTTCTAACTTTGAGGATGAGGTATGGAAAGGTGAAACATGAAGAGTAATGGAGAACGGAAAAATAAAAAGTGTCCAGGGGCGGGAATCGAACCCACACCCTTCTGCTTACCGGGCAGGTGCCTTGTCCACTCGGCTACCCTGGACGTATTTTTCCGTTCATAACTTATATTTAAAGTAACATTTAAAATACAATATAACGCGGCTGATGATTGTAAAACGAAAATTAAAATTATACCGCGAATGTTTCTTTTAAAAATCGAAATTTATTTTCAAAGAGAAATAGCGACATTTCTAACTTTGAGGATGAGGTATGGAAAGGTGAAACATGAAGAGTAATGGAGAACGGAAAAATAAAAAGTGTCCAGGGGCGGGAATCGAACCCACACCCTTCTGCTTACCGGGCAGGTGCCTTGTCCACTCGGCTACCCTGGACGTATTTTTCCGTTCATAACTTATATTTAAAGTAACATTTAAAATACAATATAACGCGGCTGATGATTGTAAAACGAAAATTAAAATTATACCGCGAATGTTTCTTTTAAAAATCGAAATTTATTTTCAAAGAGAAATAGCGACATTTCTAACTTTGAGGATGAGGTATGGAAAGGTGAAACATGAAGAGTAATGGAGAACGGAAAAATAAAAAGTGTCCAGGGGCGGGAATCGAACCCACACCCTTCTGCTTACCGGGCAGGTGCCTTGTCCACTCGGCTACCCTGGACGTATTTTTCCGTTCATAACTTATATTTAAAGTAACATTTAAAATACAATATAACGCGGCTGATGATTGTAAAACGAAAATTAAAATTATACCGCGAATGTTTCTTTTAAAAATCGAAATTTATTTTCAAAGAGAAATAGCGACATTTCTAACTTTGAGGATGAGGTATGGAAAGGTGAAACATGAAGAGTAATGGAGAACGGAAAAATAAAAAGTGTCCAGGGGCGGGAATCGAACCCACACCCTTCTGCTTACCGGGCAGGTGCCTTGTCCACTCGGCTACCCTGGACGTATTTTCCGTTCATAACTTATATTTAAAGTAACATTTAAAATACAATATAACGCGGCTGATGATTGTAAAACGAAAATTAAAATTATACCGCGAATGTTTCTTTTAAAAATCGAAATTTATTTTCAAAGAGAAATAGCGACATTTCTAACTTTGAGGATGAGGTATGGAAAGGTGAAACATGAAGAGTAATGGAGAACGGAAAAATAAAAAGTGTCCAGGGGCGGGAATCGAACCCACACCCTTCTGCTTACCGGGCAGGTGCCTGGTCCACTCGGCTACCCTGGACGTATTTTTCCGTTCATAACTTATATTTAAAGTAACATTTAAAATACAATATAACGCGGCTGATGATTGTAAAACGAAAATTAAAATTATACCGCGAATGTTTCTTTTAAAAATCGAAATTTATTTTCAAAGAGAAATAGCGACATTTCTAACTTTGAGGATGAGGTATGGAAAGGTGAAACATGAAGAGTAATGGAGAACGGAAAAATAAAAAGTGTCCAGGGGCGGGAATCGAACCCACACCCTTCTGCTTACCGGGCAGGTGCCTTGTCCACTCGGCTACCCTGGACGTATTTTTCCGTTCATAACTTATATTTAAAGTAACATTTAAAATACAATATAACGCGGCTGATGATTGTAAAACGAAAATTAAAATTATACCGCGAATGTTTCTTTTAAAAATCGAAATTTATTTTCAAAGAGAAATAGCGACATTTCTAACTTTGAGGATGAGGTATGGAAAGGTGAAACATGAAGAGTAATGGAGAACGGAAAAATAAAAAGTGTCCAGGGGCGGGAATCGAACCCACACCCTTCTGCTTACCGGGCAGGTGCCTTGTCCACTCGGCTACCCTGGACGTATTTTTCCGTTCATAACTTATATTTAAAGTAACATTTAAAATACAATATAACACGGCTGATGATTGTAAAACGAAAATTAAAATTATACCGCGAATGTTTCTTTTAAAAATCGAAATTTATTTTCAAAGAGAAATAGCGACATTTCTAACTTTGAGGATGAGGTATTGAAAGGTGAAACATGAAGAGTAATGGAGAACGGAAAAATAAAAAGTGTCCAGGGGCGGGAATCGAACCCACACCCTTCTGCTTACCGGGCAGGTGCCTTGTCCACTCGGCTACCCTGGACGTATTTTTCCGTTCATAACTTATATTTAAAGTAACATTTAAAATACAATATAACGCGGCTGATGATTGTAAAACGAAAATTAAAATTATACCGCGAATGTTTCTTTTAAAAATCGAAATTTATTTTCAAAGAGAAATAGCGACATTTCTAACTTTGAGGATGAGGTATGGAAAGGTGAAACATGAAGAGTAATGGAGAACAGAAAAATAAAAAGTGTCCAGGGGCGGGAATCGAACCCACACCCTTCTGCTTACCGGGCAGGTGCCTTGTCCACTCGGCTACCCTGGACGTATTTTTCCGTTCATAACTTATATTTAAAGTAACATTTAAAATACAATATAACGCGGCTGATGATTGTAAAACGAAAATTAAAATTATACCGCGAATGTTTCTTTTAAAAATCGAAATTTATTTTCAAAGAGAAATAGCGACATTTGTAAAACGAAAATTAAAATTATACCGCGAATGTTTCTTTTAAAAATCGAAATTTATTTTCAAAGAGAAATAGCGACATTTCTAACTTTGAGGATGAGGTATGGAAAGGTGAAACATGAAGAGTAATGGAGAACGGAAAAGAAACATTCGCGGTATAATTTTAATTTTCGTTTTACAATCATCAGCCGCGTTATATTGTATTTTAAATGTTACTTTAAATATAAGTTATGAACGGAAAAATACGTCCAGGGTAGCCGAGTGGACAAGGCACCTGCCCGGTAAGCAGAAGGGTGTGGGTTCGATTCCCGCCCCTGGACACTTTTTATTTTTCCGTTCTCCATTACTCTTCATGTTTCACCTTTCCATACCTCATCCTCAAAGTTAGAAATGTCGCTATTTCTCTTTGAAAATAAATTTCGATTTTTAAAAGAAACATTCGCGGTATAATTTTAATTTTCGTTTTACAATCATCAGCCGCGTTATATTGTATTTTAAATGTTACTTTAAATATAAGTTATGAACGGAAAAATACGTCCAGGGTAGCCGAGTGGACAAGGCACCTGCCCGGTAAGCAGAAGGGTGTGGGTTCGATTCCCGCCCCTGGACACTTTTTATTTTTCCGTTCTCCATTACTCTTCATGTTTCACCTTTCCATACCTCATCCTCAAAGTTAGAAATGTCGCTATTTCTCTTTGAAAATAAATTTCGATTTTTAAAAGAAACATTCGCGGTATAATTTTAATTTTCGTTTTACAATCATCAGCCGCGTTATATTGTATTTTAAATGTTACTTTAAATATAAGTTATGAACGGAAAAATACGTCCAGGGTAGCCGAGTGGACAAGGCACCTGCCCGGTAAGCAGAAGGGTGTGGGTTCGATTCCCGCCCCTGGACACTTTTTATTTTTCCGTTCTCCATTACTCTTCATGTTTCACCTTTCCATACCTCATCCTCAAAGTTAGAAATGTCGCTATTTCTCTTTGAAAATAAATTTCGATTTTTAAAAGAAACATTCGCGGTATAATTTTAATTTTCGTTTTACAATCATCAGCCGCGTTATATTGTATTTTAAATGTTACTTTAAATATAAGTTATGAACGGAAAAATACGTCCAGGGTAGCCGAGTGGACAAGGCACCTGCCCGGTAAGCAGAAGGGTGTGGGTTCGATTCCCGCCCCTGGACACTTTTTATTTTTCCGTTCTCCATTACTCTTCATGTTTCACCTTTCCATACCTCATCCTCAAAGTTAGAAATGTCGCTATATCTCTTTGAAAATAAATTTCGATTTTTAAAAGAAACATTCGCGGTATAATTTTAATTTTCGTTTTACAATCATCAGCCGCGTTATATTGTATTTTAAATGTTACTTTAAATATAAGTTATGAACGGAAAAATACGTCCAGGGTAGCCGAGTGGACAAGGCACCTGCCCGGTAAGCAGAAGGGTGTGGGTTCGATTCCCGCCCCTGGACACTTTTTATTTTTCCGTTCTCCATTACTCTTCATGTTTCACCTTTCCATACCTCATCCTCAAAGTTAGAAATGTCGCTATTTCTCTTTGAAAATAAATTTCGATTTTTAAAAGAAACATTCGCGGTATAATTTTAATTTTCGTTTTACAATTTATCTTGTCTTATTAAGAGATTATAAAATTATGAAAAGTCATTTAATAGAATTATTCAGAAGCTCTTATGTGATATTTTTTCAGAATATTGATTTTATCTTCATTCATATCTATTATTTAAATTGAATTTGCTTTTGGAATTATAAAATTTCAGGTCTTGATTTTCTTGGCAATTGAATTATTTCAAGGTCTTAATATCCGAATATATTGGAAAGCTGATTTACTTCTTATCGACGACCAACTAACCTGGCTTTGTGATTTTGGCCATCGAGAAATCTGCTGCTGAGTTTATCGATAGATCGTCTGCTTTGTTTGAAAATGCCATTGATTTATTTCTCAGGAGCTCTCATTGTTTACCGCTATGACCCATCATACCCTAATTATACACTCAGCTTACTTCAGTGTTAGAAAGTTGTGAATACTTTGTATTTCTAAAATAAAAACTGTCCACTATTCGAAACGTAATTGTAAACAAATACATATTTATTGAAATTGTGAAAATAGTGAAAAAGTGGAATTGTACTGGTATCAGGTGGATATATTAAGAAAAAGAACATCTCCTGATCGTACAACCTAAAGTTGCTGATGGCTTGAGCCATCTATCGGAATAAATATCACCTAATCGTAGATTTCCAATTATTCCAGAATTGGCCAAATACCCTTTAATGATTAATCAATCAATCAGAATAATTTTTAACGCCTTGCCTAATGTTTTATTCTTATTTCTCCTTACGAAGACAAAACATTTTTGTTTAAATGTTAAGAGAATAAGACTCTATCTGGCTGAAGTATCTATTTTCAAATAAATAATCAAGAAAAGGTATTTACCCAATTCTTGAATTATTAAATCAACGATTTGTTGATATTCACTCCGATAATTGGCACAAGCCATCAGCAACTTTTAGTTGCACGATCAGAAAGGAGATGCCTTATTCTTAAAATATTGATTTTATAATTCTTCTGACGCGCAAATTTATATTCAAATATAAATAATTAATGAAAATGGCATCTCCTTATCGCGCAACTGAAAGTTGCTGAAGGCTTGCGCCATCTATCGGAATAAATATAAACTATTCTCGTTGATATTTAGTATATACCATAATTGGACAAATACCCATTATTTATCTTTCAAGAAAAGCTAACCACGGACGCGTTTCGGGCTGTTGGCCCTCATCAGCGTGGTGCAAGCTGTACCTCAACGACGAAAAATCCTTAATACGTATACTTCGCTAACTTTAAGGTTTTACAAATTCAACAATCAAATCAAAGCCAGGTACCTTTAACTATTTTTATTTCTATAGATTTAGGGCCAACATGTCATTCAACAGGAGAACTAGAAGTATCACTTCAAGTCAACTAAACACTATAGTTGGCGAAATCGCTGTTCACCACTGATGAGCAATACATTCCCTTTCTCAACAATACACAGTGTATTGTTGGCTGGAAGTGGTACTTCTAGGTTTTCTGTTGAAGGGCATATTTTGGCCTGAAAGCTAGAAAAATAAAAAATATAGTTAAAGAAACCTGGCCCTTGATTACTTGCTGATTTTATAAAATCTTCAATTTTCATACACATTTTACAGTACTAGAAGCAAGTTCTATTTTTCTTTTGAAACACCAATTTACTGTATTCAATAGCAAAGGCTGAGTATATAGGAAAATTAGTCTAATACAAGAGTAGAGCGGTCTGGAGATTGAAATGGCGAAATTGCAGGGAGGGTTCAACTCAGCGCGCGCGCTGAGATAAAATATCTTTCAATAATATTTATATTTGAAAATAAAAGATGTGTTTGAAATATTCATAATTCTTAGTGATAGAGGAAGATATGTTAGATGTTAACATCTGGTAAATTGAATTGGCGAAACCGCTGGGAGGGTTCACTACTGATGAGCCAAGCCCTCCCAATATTTTTCATTACAATAAGGACATTAAAAGTTTGATTTATTTGTGAAAAAACACTCGCGTCTCAATGTTTTCATATTATATATAGGTGGCGCGTTATTGTGCTTTGTAATATATTAAATATTGATTTTAAATTTATCAAGAGTATATTTTTATAAAAATCAAATAA